TATATATAATTTGTTGGAACTGTGTTAGAAAAATAAATATGAAGGTCAATGAAATTATAAAACATGGAAAAGTTAATTTTTTTAATAAATGGTTCATTTTAACTATATTTACTTTTTTATTTATTGGGCCATTTCTAAATTTCTGCTTTTAATTATGTCCGTTTCAGTCCTCCAGGTGGAGGGATGGACTATTTTTAATATGTAGTGTAGTGTGTTTGTAGTATTCAGTGAGACAACGTTTCTTTTAGGCCATTTTTCCATTTGTTGAGATGAAGACTTCCCGTTTCTCCAAAGTCCCTCTTTCATTTCATGACACCTAATTTCCTACATCCCTCATTTCAGCACAAACACTCATAACTCCCTATTTGCCCTTTGTATTACATATTTTAAATGTATCCTGCATCATATTCAGTCAGTTTATGCAATGTTTAAACATTTTCTGCCTGAGTAATATCTTGCCGAGGAYGTCAGTTGGCTTGTTTCTTAAAATAACCTGGTATAAGGAAACTTGGCATTTAACAAATGTGTTTTACAAAAAACAAAAAKAAGAAGAAAGAGCTGCAGGACCGCCAGGAAGAAGCATTAAAAATTTACTGCATTTTGTTCAGCTGGATACTTAGAATGATTTGATTTAGGGGATGACTTGCAGAATCTCATACATACTCTCTGTTGGTATTTATTTCTCCTCTGAGTCACACCTCAGCCGGAGCTCCTGCGTCAGTCTGCACATGCTTTCTATTAGCTGAGTCCACACAAAAAAGCACATAAATTTGCTCAAACACACTCTTATGCCCAATTGCTCTGCTGTGTTTCATGCCTGTAAAACTTCTGTCCGTTTACCCCGACCTCCGGGGTGACCTCCTGCCCCCGGTTGTGACCCGTCTGTTCGACAGCATCCAGCACCTTCTGTGACATTGCTTGTGTGTTGCTGCTTCATGCTGGGATCTAGTATTGTAGTTTCTGCTTGTTCTTTCTTAAATTCAAAAGTTTGTCATTTTTGCTGTTAGGATTGAATGAAGCTAACTTAGTGCAACGAAGGGTTGACAAACAGGCTTTCTGAGTGGATCCAGGCCTTTTGCCCAAAACCCACTGTTGGTTGTTCCCAGCTGGATGAGCTAGCAGTAGCTGTGTTTCCATTACAAATGTGCGCAAAACTTTGTCGATATTCTGTTAATGTCAAAAAACACAGTTTCGCAACTGCAG